CGCGCGCTCCCGCCCGCCAGACCAACGCACGCAGAAGCTCGGCCCACAGACCGGCTTCCGTTAAACCTCGCCCCCTGGCTTGCCCCGCCCCTTCCGCGCGAACCGACCGCCCTATCCCGCAGCATCCTACTCCTCAAATCCTCCCCTACTGCGTCGGCGCGCCCGTCACGCGCAAGGCCCGCTCTCCAGGCGCTGGGCCTCCCGCGGAGGCCGCAGCACCAGCCTCGCCTGGGGACGGGGGCGGAGTCCTAGGGGGCGGAGCTTGGGGGGAGGAGACAGCCCTTCACCTGAGCGCTCCACTGTAAGGCCTGGTCGCCTTTGAACTTGTTCCTGGGGAAGTCGCTTCGTTTTGTCCTACCGTATTCCAAGTGTCCAAAATGCCATCGTCATTATATTAATGACGGCTAGCTATCATTATTATCATCGACCCTTTATCATGTTCAGGTCCTATTTTTATGCATTCCAGCGGGTTAATCCTCACAATAAAGGAGAGAGGTGTTCTTTTTCCTTTTCGGCACAAACGGGAAGGGCTTTCCCATCAGCCAGCTTGCCCACTGGCTACTGATAGCCAAAAGCAGAGGTGAGATTGGAACCCAGAAGCTCCTGACTTCAGACCCTGTACTTTGAGCTACTCTGAACTATTCTGCCTCCTAAGGGCTCAAAAACATGGACTAAAACAAGAGGTTAAAACAAGAGGTTAAAAGCGCCAAACTCCTCTTTTACAAGCAAAAAACTGGGATAAAATATTTGCAACATAGCCAACAAAGAATATTCAGAATAAAGAACTCATAAACCTTAAAAAAGGTAATTTAATAAAAAATGGACAAAGAAAGTGAATAGACAATAAACAGAAAAGAAAAATCTGAATGTCTAATAAACATTTTAAAAGAGATGCTCGATATATGCACGACCCAAGGACACGGACAATGGTGGGGAGAGGGACTAGGGAGGGGGAAGGGACGGGGTGGAACGGGTCATTGGGGAGAAAAAGGGACATCTGTAATATTTTAAACAAAAATAAAGTTTAAAAAAAAAAAAGATGCTCGCCTGGCCAGAGTGGCTCAGTGGTCAGTGGTTGAGCATCGGCCTATGATCCAAGAGATGGAGGTTCAATTCCCAGTCAGGGCACATGCCCAGGTTTCAGGCTCAATCCCCAGTAGAGGGCATGTAGGAGGCAGCTAATCAATGACTCTCATCAGTGATGATTCTCTCTCTCTCTCTCTCTCTCTCTCTTCTTCTCTCTGAAATCAATAAAGATATATATATTTTTTAAAAAGAGTTAGAGACAGGCCTTGGCCTGTTTGGTTCAGTGGCTAGAGCATTGTCCTGTGGACTGAAGGGTTGTGGGTTCAATTCCCAATCAAGTGCTCATACCTTGCTTGCAGGTTAGATTCCCAGCCCCTATGTGCAAGATGCCTCTCTCCCTCCCCCTTCTCCCTCCCCTCCACTCTCTCTAAAAATCAATGGAAAAAATATCCTCAGGTGAGGATTTAAAAAAAAAAAGGTGTCAGAGACAGGGCTAGGTGCCTTGCAAACTCGATTTGACTTCAGTGTTGCAACTGTTCCATTTTCCATACAAAGAAACTGAGACTCAGAGACTTAGCATAAAGTTTGCCTGAGTCAGAAGCTTAGTCCCAGGTGACAGAATTGAATTCTGACATTCTTTTCACAACCTTGTAAAGGAATTATAGTCTCCATAGGTCTAAGGAAATTGCTCAGGGCCCTAGCTGTTTCTTGTCCAAACCACGTAATTGTTTTTCTTCACTGACAAAGAGGATAAAGATGGGTGGCAGGGAGAAGGGCATGCTGCCTGCCATCTGCCCTGGCCATGCCCCTTCCGCTAATGAACGATAAACACAAGGCCTGGCCAGATGATAGTCAGTGAGGGAAAGCTAATTTAAAGGTGTATGGTCCTTGTTGAGTAAATAGGAAACTGTAATGCCTATGGTACTTTAGAAAGCCTGTCTGTGCACCAGAGAAGTGTTTGACATGGGTGGGACTTTTCTAATAAGCAAGGCTTTTTCTCTATAGGAGGCTGAAAAGCCCAAGAGCTTAGAGGGAGAGAGAAACGAGCTGAGTTTCTTGACCTCAGGTTGTATTATTACAATTCATTATTGTTTATGATTATGACAGGAATGTGAGCATACTAATGGTGAGGAATTTGTGTACTACACACGATTAGGAAGAAAATGAAAACCACTCTTAATTCTTGACACTGAAAAATAAATTGCTGACCTGGCCAGTGTGGCTCAATTGGTTGGGCATCATCCTGTGCACCTGGGGGGGTCGCCTGTTCAGTTTACTGTCAGGACACATGCCAAGGTTGTGGGCTTGATCCCCAGTAAGGGTCATGCAGGAGGTAATCAATGGATGATGTTTTTTATCAATGTTTCTATCTCTCTATTCCCTCTTCTTTCCTCTCTCTAAAAAGGAACATACTTTTAAAAAAATTATGCCTTATTGCCCTGTCTGGCATGGCTCAGCAGTTGAGCATCAACCTAGGATCCAGGAGATCATGGTTTGATTTCCGGTCAGGGCACATGGCCTGGTTACGGGCTCCATCCCCAGTCTGGGACATGCAGGAGGCAGCCGATCAATGACGACTCTCTCATCATTGATGTTTCTCTCTCTCTCCCTCTCCCTTCCTCTCTCTGAAATCAATAAAGATATATTTAAAAATAAAAAAGAAGTGCCCAAGAGGAGAAGGGGATGCCACCTCAAAGCAGGGGAACTCTTGCCCTGCAGACAATAGTACAGAGGCTTGCTTCTTTCAACCTCCACTCCCAATCATCATCTCAGTGACTTCATTGAGAAATGCCACTAGAATCCACATCTTCCTCACATTGACTTCCTCTCTACAGGGCACCTCTTTATTTATTTTTTTAGTCTCCCTTTAGACATTTTGTTATGAAATCTGTCATACTGCAGAAATGTACAGTATACTATTGTAAGTCTCTTAATTGGCTTCCCTGCCTCTAAGGTTCTCACTTCACTATCCTCTGCCATCAGAGGATGTAACTACAACTCACCTCTGATTTGTTTCCCTGTCAACTCTCCAGGCTCCTTTAAAAATCCTAACTAGCTCCTATTCCTTGACAGAAACAATTTAAACTCATCATGGTATTCAAGGATGTACTCTCTCTAACCTTGCTTACCTTCTGCCTGCCCTGCCTTCCTCTCCAGTTACACAGAAGTACTTCACAAGAGCCACATTGATTGAATGTTTTCTATATGCCAGGTACTGAAGCTCAAAGCATAGCTAACAGTTCTGCCATGTTGAGTTCTATCATATTTTCCCTTTTAACAGATGAGAAGACTGAGGCTCACAAAAGTTGAGTGATTTTTCCCATTGTACACAGCTAATAAGTGACTGATTCTAGAACCCATGTTCTTAACCCTAGGTCACCATACTTGTGTCTTCTCCGGACAACACTGTCTTCTAGGCCTTTGCCCAAATTGGTCTCTGGGCCTTCTTTAGGCCTAGAGATGGGTCTTAAAGTCTTACCCACCTGCTATTATGTTTTCCACCTCTCTTTCACCAGGTACCCTGGTCCTTCCAGACAATACAAGTTTCCTGTACTGAACACAGAAACCCCATTGGAGCATAGTTTTAAACTTTCCATATAGCTGTGTGTTTCTTAGCATCAGGGACCTTTTCTTGTTTATGTCTGGTCTTTGGGCCCAGGATGGTGGCTGATGAAAAGGTGCCACTCAGGAAAGTTCAGCCAGCCATAGTCAGAACTGTCTCCCTTTTCAGTTTGTGCTTATGTATTCACTCAGTCACTCAAGAAACATTTTGATAGCACTGATGGTGGACTAGGACTCAGATTGTATCACTTTTGGCCTAAAATCCTCATGAACTCTCATACTCTGATGGTGGGGGTACAAATGGTACAACCACTTAGGAAAACAGTATCTAGTAAAGCTGACACATGCCTGTTCTATTTTCACTCCTAGGTAGATAGTGAAGAGAAATGCTACCATGTGTGATGAAAACACAGGTATACAATTGCTTATAGGAGCTAAGGAAGACAGAGGGTGTGTAAAATGGAGTCATTTTAACCAAGCTGCTAAAATTATTAACATCCAAAGGTTGAGGCGGGAGGAAAGACTATTCTTGTTCTAACTAGCCTGGGAACTTAAACTTTTGAACTTTCCAGTCCTGCTTCAATGCCTGGATATGCATTTGGACATAAACCAGACCTCCAGATAGCCCTCTGATTACCCACTGAAGGACTCAGGTATCCAGGCCAACAGACACCCACCTGACATCTATTATCCAGACCACTGGACGTGACCAGACCACCTGGAGTCCATCTTCCAGACTGCCTGACATCTGACTGATAACCATCCTGGACAAACCCTAGGGCTAAGACTGCAATACTGATATTTCTTTAGAATGTCCTTTTTACTAAAAGAACTTTTAATTTTTCTTTCTTCTTTGGTATACTTCTGGGGTTTTGCCTATTTTCCCAGTTTGTAAATTCTAAGATCCTTGAATAAATCTTTATCACTTATTTCTAGCCACAGCTTCCAGACTCTTTTTGAGTTCATTCCACATAGCATTATTTACAAAAGCCCAAACCAGAAAGTTTCCAAGTGTCTATCAACAGGAGAAGGGTAAATTGTGATGTATTCACACAATGGAGTACTACATAGCAATGAAAATGAATAAACTGTAGAGACCATAGAGATGAATCTCACATATTGAGTGAAAGATGTGGGCACAAAAGAGTATATACAAACTCCATTTCTATGTAAAGTCCTAAGAATAAGTAAAACTAATTTGCAGTTGGAAGTCATTATAGTGGTGACCTATCATGGGTTGGGG